TTGCTACGATAACCCCCAACCCCCCCCCCCTAAAAAAAAAAACCCCCCCTAAACGCGTCTCTCTCTCTCTCTACACACACACACACACTATTGTGAGTGGTAGGAGATATTATTGGCAATGGAATGTACTTTTTCTTTCTTCTGCTTGAAGTATCAGTTTAAAGATGGTTTTCTAGTTTTACCTACACGGCAAGAGAAAGATTTAAGGCGTGATGAGAAATGTCCCTCGCCAACTATCTGATCATGTTTTCTTTTCCCCTTTATTTTGTCACTTAACTTCGCTTCCTTACTAGGCATTTGGTTTACTCCGTATTTAATTTTGAAATTTGCAAGTTCGTCTGGAAAATATATATAATCAAGAGGGAGTATATTTTCCTCATTCAAAGCTTAAGGGAGTTCTGTTACTCGTGATGAGAGCCTCATCCTCAAAATTTGAGAAACAGAGGGTAAATCACTTGCAAACTTGTTGGTTTTCGGATAACTTGTTTGAAGATGTATTTTTTACTAAATGTTGCGCAGAACGATAACTTGTTTGGATGATTGTATTTTTTTCTGAATTTTGTGTGTTACGAGTGTTCCCCAAAAATCTATCCTTTTCCTCCTCCAGAATCTCGCTTGAAATTGGAATATTTTTGTTTTTGTTTTTATGGTACATCATGAAATATATATACTTTAGTACGAGAAGTGGCACTCCGAACTGTTGGAAGAGTGCTTATCTATAGAATCTGAGATTTTTCCGTGTTCTCCATTATTGTCTTTAAATTCTTGTATCTATCTATCTTCTATCTATATATATAAAAGTGGGCATGAGAAAACTGACTTGGCACCTCGATTAGACTAGAATTGTCATTTATCTTTTTTCTCATTTTTTTGACATTTTCCACTTATTTCCCCTTTCTCTTTTGTTAAGTACACATACTATCGGTTACAATATATCTCCAAGCCGTTTTGCGTATTGAATAAGCCCAGAGGTCTGTAACTGACTCAATACTTGCGTAACTGAACATTAAACATCTTTGTGAATTAACAATTGTAACTGAAATAAAACCTGATCAATGGCTATAAAGGGATGCTATAATGAGGAAAGTGATTTCTGTTGATGAGCCCGTTATAAGTTTTGAGGAATTGAGTAAGTTGAGGGACTTAAGGCATTTGTATCTATTTGATTCGAATTTCACAGAGAAAGTTCCTAAGGAATGGACTATGCAATTCCGTGTACTTTGTTATCAGGTATGCTACCTTGGTTTTTTATATTCCTGCACTTAATATCATTTCTTATATTTCCTTTTTGTATATGTTTTTTCTCTATTAGAAGGAGGTGGACATTAGACAGTTTTGAGTAGTTGCTGGATTAACTATTGATTAGATAGCTGTAACTCATTTTTATTGTTTATCTTGGTTGACAATATAAGATTAAATTGAATCAGATAGCTCGACATGCATCGCTTATCTTAACTCATAAATTCAACATAACAGCTTAGTTTTCGACTACTCTTTTCTTGTAAACGCATATGATATACCCCTATATTTAGTATGAAATTTCTTTATAATTAATTGCAACAGTCTGTTCGTGCTTAAGGTTAAGCTCAAATTACACGGAAGACAAAAACCACAGACATCTTGTGAATTGGGTGGAACCGTGGAAGAAATGATGCAGTGGCGGTCCAATTTGGGGATTAAAACGCAGCTTTCATTAGATGTTGTTAAATGTCCAAATTGCCCTTGAACAAAAATTAAAAAGACAGCTAAGCAGGCATGTCGAAACTCAAGCTCTTCTATATATTAGAAAAGTAGTCAATGCAAGGCCGATTGCACAATCACAGAGAAGTTGTCCCTACAAGAAAAATGGCTATTAGTGTGGGAATAATGGCCTCTAAAATTCTAAGTCTGGTCTTTGAACTAACAGCTTGTTTGGATGGTTGTTACATGTCGTCTTATAATGTATCATATCGTATTGTATTATATTGTACTGTATCGTTTGATGAATACAATGTTTGGATGAATTGTGTTGTTTTGTCGCCGTTTCATGGTATCACGCACCAGAAATATTATGAATAAACTTGCAATATTATAAAGAAAAATTATAATACGGTATGTAAAAAGGTAGGGTAATGGTAAAATAAAATTATTTAATAATAATGAAGGGTGAGATTAAGAGAAAAACACAAAGAAACGACGCGACCACACCAAATCGGTCGTTACATAAAGTGGCACATTTCATCGTTACGTAACGACGGATTTAACGATACGATACAATAAAATTTAAGTAACAATCAAAACAAACATTGTATTTAAAGTAACAATACGATACGATACAATAGGTAACAACCATCCAAACAAGCGGTAAGGGTGTTAAACGGCCAGGTCGGAACCGTCCGGGTTGGGAAAAAATGGAACCTGCCGGTTTCCAATCCGTGCCGGTTACGGGTTACTCTTAACCGGGCTTAACGGGTCTGGGTCCATCCCGGGTATAAAATGAGTAAGGGTTACGGAGGGGGCCGGGTCGGGCCGGGTTAGTGTTATTATTATTTTTTTTTTATATTTTGTATAACTATTGTAATTTATATTAATATAAAGTAAAAATATAAAGAAGACAATGATGATGGAAAAAAAATTGCACTTATAAATTGCAAGTGCTTTTTTATTTTAAAATTCAAACTTACAAATTGAAGTTTACATTTAACAACAAGTAAATTAACAAAAAAGAGTAAATTCAAAGGTTTTGCATTGCCTTAGTAAGTTCTTCATAATCAATATGAACTTCTTGGCCATCTTCTGGAGTGTTAAATTCAGATGGGTTACCATGTGTTAATATATCTCCAAGTTCCTCATCTTCTGGGCTATCAACATCTTCACGTCCCTTATTTCTTTGTTCCGATCTAATCCAATCTCTGAAACATACTAAAACTTCCAAGGCATTGCTTCCCAATGAGTGACGGGTGTCTCCAAGTTGTTGTCTTGCTTGATTAAATGCACTCTTTGATGCAACAGCTGAAATTGGCACATTCAGCACGTCCGAGCCATAGCGGAAAGAACAGGAAATTGCTTTTCATTCTCATGCCACCATCCCAACCGTGAAAATTCCTTTGTGCGAGGCTCTATTTTGCAAGTAGAATTGAAGTTCATCAATGTTCCTGCTACTGGTTTGGGTGTTAGAAAATGTAGAAAAAATATTAAAACTATCAAGGCCTTCATCATCATCAATAGTAGTAGAAGTGGTACGATGCGTACTGGGATTAACATTGCCTACATTAAGAGCAACATCATCAAATATATTTTCATAATAATTATATAAATGTTGTAAATAATCATTTAGATTGTTCATACAAACATATATATCTGGGGTTTCAGTTGGTCCAATCTCTATTTAAGTATATAAAGCATTGATTAATTGGTGACAATCAGACATCCTAATAAAAGGATTTAAAACAGCACCAATTAAGTAAATCGGAGAAATTGAAAAGAAATAGTTTTTGAATTTTGCTTGCATTTTTTCAACAGCATCCTTATATTTTTCTTTCTTCTTAACTTCAGAGAGTAGAAAAAAAAAATTCAGTTATATGTACTAAAGCCATAGTAACAGTAGGGGTAATATGCTCCAAAAAAACTCAACAGTAGCTGTATAAAATTTATGTAAAACTTTAACAACATCATTAATGGCCTCCCACGTAGTAGTTGCTAACATACGATTTTGATCAGTACAATGCACATTAGCAACTTCAGTTATTGGCAATCTATATTTGTAGCAACATTTCAAAATATATATGTATATTTTCATCTAGTAACAATTTCGTCTGGCATGAATGTGGGCTTAAGGTTATGCTCGGTACACTTATTTTTAAATTTTCTAATTCTAGATTGTCTATTATTTCCTTGAATAACACCAACTGCTCTTCTAACATGAGTAATCTCAATTGAAAATAAATCAATGTCACTTTTAATAATTAAATTATAAACATGACATACACACCTAACATGAAAAATTTCGTCAAGTGGTGGTTGCAAATGCAATTTTAATATTGAAATTGTGGCATTATTGTTAGAAGCATTATCAAAAGACATATTTTTATTAAGATTATAAAATTCAAAAACTTCGCAATAGTAGTACTTATAAACACAACAGTATGACTCTGATCTTCATCATATTTAAAAACGATAATACGTTTTTGCATACAATAATTATCATCTATCCAATGACATGTAATTGTCAAATAATCATTTTCATTAACAACATGTCCAATATCAGAAGTTAGAGAAACTCTACAAGGAATGTGGTCAAACAAATAACGTATGTATGTTTGATATTGTCCATGAAGTCTAAAGATACCAGATCTACAAGTACTTCTAGGGATACCTTTAAATAAAGGATTATAAATCCTTTGAATATACATAAATCCTTTTGAATATACATAATAAGATATGATGAAGAAGCAAAAGAAAAAGGTAGATAACCCAAAAGCAATCATTTTTGCTAACACCTCACGATCCTTCATTTTATCATATTTCATAAGTCCTCCAGTAGTAAGGTTTAGAGTTGCTTGATTTTGATCTAAATCGGAGCCCCATTCTATAGGATGCTCAATTCTCATATGTCTACTAAGTGTCCTAATGCCCTCTAATTGTCCTCCAGTCTTATGTTTAAAATCATCATTACAAAGTCTGCATTTAACTCTATCAGTACCTACTATTTCGTCAAAAAAATTCCAAACCTTACTTCTTTTTCTCCGATTAGCAGTCCGGGCCACAGGTGGTCTACTACTAGCACCACGACCACCACCCCTGCTACCAACTCCAACACTACTAGGTGTAAGTGGTGTCTCATCTTCAATTTCTAATTCATTATCTTCTATACCGAAATCTTCCTGTAATTGTTCATAATCTATATTATTATCAAGTAATGTTTCAGAAACATGTGTAGAGTCATTTAAATTACTACCAGATGTTAA